TACATGTTCGTATTAGTCTTGGTTCGATGTTCTTTGTTCCCTTGTCCTATGTGGGCATTCCACTTTAAATAGTTGTATAAGTATAGGTATGTGTTGGTCTGGGTACGACATTCCCTCGTCCTATATAGATATTCCACCATTACGTGTTTGAATCTGTCCAGGTATGTGTTGGTCTTGCTTCGTCCACCATTAAATGTTTGTATCGATGTTCTTTGTTCCGTTGTATTTATACATGTTCGTATTAGTTTTGGTTCGATGTTTTTTTTTCCCTTGTCCTATGTGGTCATTCCACTTTAAATAGTTGTATAAGTATAGGTATGTGTTGGTCTGGGTACGACATTCCCTCGTTCAAAATAGATATGTTCAACCAATATGTGTTTGACTCTGTACAGGTATGTGTTGGTCTGAGTTCGACGTTCCCTCGTCCTAGATAGATATTCGACCATTACGTGTTTGTAACCGTACAGGTATGTGTTGGTCTGGGTACGTCCAACATTAAATGTTTGTATCTGTACAGGTATGTGTTGGTCTTGCTACGTCAAACATTAAATGTTGGTATCTGTACAGGTATGTGTTGGTTTTGCTACGTCCAACATTAAATGTTTGTATCTGTACAGATATGTGTTGGTTTTGCTACGTCCAACGTTAAATGTTTGTATATGTGCAGGTATGTGTTGGTCTTACTACGTCCACCATTAAATGTTTGTATCTGTACAGGTATGTGTATGTCTAGCTACGTCCAACATTTAATGTTTGTATCTATACAGGTTCGTGTTGGTCTTGCTTCGTCCAACATTAAATGTTTGTATCTGTACAGATATGTGTTGGTTTTGCTACGTCCAACGTTAAATGTTTGTATATGTGCAGGTATGTGTTGGTCTTACTACGTCCACCATTAAATGTTTGTATCTGTACAGGTATGTGTATGTCTAGCTACGTCCAACATTATATGTTTGTATCTGTACAGGTATTTGTATGTCTAGCTATTTCCAACATTAAATGTTTGTATCTGGACAGGTATGTGTATGTCTAGCTACGTCCAACATTAAATGTTTGTATCTGTACAGGTATGTGTATGTCTAGCTACGTCCAACATT